GGATTTAATCCTTTTTACATATAGATTTTAAGCAATTGTTTGATTTTGGGTTCAATTGTTTTGTTTCAGGATTTCTTTGGATAATCACCGTCGATGGAATTAAAGCAAGTAAAGTGATAGCAAATCGATTAACAAAATAGAAGGACATTTTTATTAATCTAGAAAGTTTCAAACTAATGAAGAGTCTCTAAGACTAATCTTAATTCTAATTCTAGCCTAAAATGACTCTTAAAACGTCTAAGTCGTGGGTCTTTGATTGGTTTGATTATGTCCTCTTTTAAAAAAATTCTTAATAAAATGACACGTGATCACTTTCGTAAAAAAATTTGATGGATTGTTTGATTAGGAACTAAAGTGACACGGATTGAATACTTTAGAGACTAAATTGAAATAATAAAGACTAAATTAACAAAAAATACATACTTTAAGAACCAAAAGTGATATTAACCGCATTTCTTTTGAAAAGCAAACAGTAGTTAACCAACTTGTAGTGTAGGATCTTTTGTTGTTATTTTATAATGAGAGGTGTTGTTGATTTAAACAATATCGTTTTTTATTTGAACGACTCTGTTTTGATTAATATTACCTTTGTTATTAATTTTAAAATTAACAATAAAGAAACTGAACTCGTATCGTGTCTCTATAATTCACTAAAATTAACAGCAAAGGAATTGGACTTGTATTGTGCCCCTATAATTTCTCATCATTGCTACCTTTTTTTTTCTAATTTTCTTAACTAATGATGTGGTAGATACATCTATATAATAAAGTATAATACAATTTAAATTTGAAAAAATAAACAAAGTGATTTTGTTTTTCGCGGTTAAAATCTCTTTAAATTTTATTTTAAAGTTAATCCGATGATTAATATTAATCACCCAAATTTAATAGAAAAATGAGTCTCTAAGGGTGTATTTTTGTGACTTTTTAAAAATAATTTTAGAAATTATAATTTCTCATAAATATTTAAAAAAAATAGTGTTTGAAATCGTCCTACCATCACCATCACCACCACCCCCACCGCCCCACCCCTACTGCCGTCGCCACCACCACCACCTTTGTCACAATAATTGTCGCCGCCACCATTGTCATCACCCCACCACCACCATCATCACCGTCGCCACCACCCCCACCGGCCCATCACCTTACCACCACTATCATTGTCACTGTCCCACCATTACCCCCACTGCTCTACCATCACCCTCACGACCATAACAACTACCATTACTGTCGTTGCCACCCTACCACCAATACTGTCGTCGCCACCCCACCACCACCACAATCACCCCACCCCCATCACCAGTTACCACCACCATTGTCTCATCGCCACCCACTATCAATTGAAACCACCGTCATCACCTGTCACTATCCACTATCATCATCATTTCATTTTTATATTTATTATTGATGATGCACAAAAATGGTTTTGCACACCACCTGTCAAGTATAGATAATAAATGCAATAAAATCAACGAGAAAATTAGAGAAGACACAATTTATAGTGGTTCGGTCAATTCGACCTACGTCCACTCTTCAATGGCTTCAGTCGCCGGGTATTTTATTGATTCAAAGGTATGGAGAATGAAGATACAAGCTTTGAGAGGGGGAATGGAGAATCAAAGAAAATAATAATCTCCGGTAGTCGGTTCGTCNAGTCAATTCGACTTATGTCCACTCTTCCATGGCTTCAGTCGCCGGGTATTTTATTGATTCAAAGGTATGGAGAATGGAGATACAANCTGAAAACTAGGAACTATGTTGGGTGCCATCATTGGTGGCCCTTAATTTTCGACGTGAATTACAACTGGATTGGTATTTTCTTCCTTTAATGTTCGATTTCTAATAACATAAGAGGATTGTTGATTCACATATCCTAACATATTTGTCTGGACACTCATCGATCCATGCATGACATTCATTAAATCTTGTCTAATGCTTGAATAAGGATCAAGTAATACCTGTCTCAGGTTTTGCACACAATCTTGCATCTATGCAGTATTCTGGCCATTTCGTTGTGCGGCAAGTTCCACAATGTTGGAACTTGAACTCCCTTCAACGTAATTGGCATTGCTAGGCACAGCCTTCATGTTTTTGTTGCCCTCTATTCCAATTACTCCTTCATCTTGCTCCCTCGTTCGCACAATACTTCATCCAAGTTAGTAATTTTGTTCCATCAGACATGCACAAAAATTGTTGATCTCCACAAAGAATTTTTCCTATAATANCAAATTAAACACAAACATTCAAAAACTAAAGCTGTCGTCGACATAAATGGAAGAACCACACTTTCTTTAAATAGACAAAGAATGCAGGGATACACAGAGTTGAAGAATCTGCATCTCCTCTNAAATGGATTTAATCCCTTTTACATATAGATTTTAAGCAATTGTTTGATTTTGGGTTCAATTGTTTTGTTTCAGGACTTCTTTGGATAATCACCGTTGATGGAATTAAAGCAAGTAAAGTGATAGCAAATCGATTAACAAAATAGAAGGACATTTTTATTAATCTAGAAAGTTTCAAACTAATGAAGAGTCTCTAAGACTAATCTTAATTCTAATTCTAGCCTAAAATGACTCTTAAAACGTCTAAGTCGTGGGTCTTTGATTGGTTTGATTATGTCCTCTTTTAAAAAAATTCTTAACAAAATGACACGTAATCATTTTCGTAAAAAAATTTGATGGATTGTTTGATTAGGAACCAAAGTGACACGGATTGAATACTTTAGAGACTAAATTGACAAAATTGAAATAATAAAGACTAAATTAACAAAAAATACATATTTTAAGAACCAAAAGTGATATTAACCGCATTTCTTTTGAAAAGCAAACAGTAGTTAACCAACTTGTAGTGTAGGATCTTTTGCTGTTATTTTATAATGAGAGGTGTTGTTGATTTAAACAATATCGTTTTTTATTTGAACGACTCTGTTTTGATTAATATTACCTTTGTTATTAATTTTAAAATTAACAATAGAGAAACTGAACTCGCATCGTGTCTCTATAATTCACTAAAATTAACAGCAAAGGAATTGGACTTGTATTGTGCCCCTATAATTTCTCATCATTGCTACCTTTTTTTTTCTAATTTACTTAACTAATGATGTGGTAGATACATCTATATAATAAAGTATAATACAATTTAAATTTGAAAAAATAAACAAAGTGACTTTGTTTTTCGCGGTTGAAATCTCTTTAAATTTTATTTTAAAGTTAATCCGATGATTAATATTAATCACCCAAATTTAATAGAAAAATGAGCCTCTAAGGGTGTATTTTTGTGACTTTTTAAAAATAATTTTAGAAATTATAATTTCTCATAAATATTTAAAAAAAATAGTGTTTGAAATCGTCCTACCATCACCATCACCACCACCCCCACCGCCCCACCCCTACTGCCGTCGCCACCACCACCACCTTTGTCACAATAATTGTCGCCGCCACCATTGTCATCACCCCACCACCACCATCATCACCGTCGCCACCACCCCCACCGGCCCATCACCTTACCACCACTATCATTGTCACTGTCCCACCATTACCCCCACCGCTCTACCATCACCCTCACGACCATAACAACTACCACCACCGTCGTCGCCACCCCACCACCACCGCCATCACCCCACCCCCATCACCAGTTACCACCACCATTGTCTCATCGCCACCCACTATCNATGCTGATTTTTACGCCGAAAATTCTGCTTTGCGCAATTTTGAAGGGTCAGACAACCTTCAAGCTACTGGGCAACTTTGTTTTGACGAGCAACAGCAGTCAGGCACACTTCTAGGCATTGGGCTAGACATTGCAAGTAGTAAGGAACCTTTGGGTGCTGCTTTTGATGATCAAGTCCTTCTCNGTCAACCGCCACTATCCACTATCATCATCATTTCATTTTTATATTTATTATCACTACTATTATCATCCCACAACCACCCGTCATCTCCCACCATCGCCGCCAGCTATTGTCACTCACCTCTATTATACCAACTATCATCACCCGTCATCGCCCACCATTGCCACCACCCATTGTCACCTACACTCACCACACCTACCACCATCATTACCACCGTCATTTTCCTCCACCCATCTCATTATCGCCCAAAATCATCCGTCGTCATCCAACACTGTCATTGTCACCGCCCACCACCACAACCCACTATCGCCACCACAAATATCGTCGCCCCATCACCACCACTACTAATCACCATTACCGTCATTCATGGCTACACTACCACCATCGTCACTCAAAATCAACCATCATCATCACAGTTGTCACCCACGTTTGTCACCTTTACCACAATTATCGTCACTCATCACAACTATCACTGTCTCCCACCACTACCACTACCACTACCACCCACCACCACTACCACTGCTTATCCCTACAACCGGTATTTAAATTTTTTTATCTTTTCTCTATATTTGTGATTTAATTTTGGGTATAAATATAAATATATTTATTATTGACTATTTATTTTATTACTCTGTGTTTTCAGGAACTGGCAATAACTAGTGATTATATAATGTTATTGTAGTTATTATTGTTAGACTTCTTTCCTATAATTCTATTACTTATAGCATTATTGACCAAATATGTTATTGTTTTAGATCCCAAAAACATTACTTATTCTCAAATTAACGCTAGTGTGAAAATTTACCATATTTGGTATAGTAGTTGAAAAAATACTTTCTTTCTAATTTTGATGGTTAAGGGCAAATTAGATACTTTCGAAACAATTGGAATGATACAGCATATTGTTGATTTCCTAAACCATTCCCCGTGAAATATAAACCTAATCAAGTATGGGGTTAGTATGAGTAATTAAGAGGGTGCCATTTATAGTTGCAGTGAAAGCTAAGAGTGTAAATGTAATTTCCCCGATGACATACTGATTCGTTATACGCCGTCTCATATTTAGAAGGTTCCATAATAGGACGCAACCCTTGAACGGTTCATGTTCAACCATCCCCCGTTTCTGCTCTCTCTCGCTCTCTCTCTACCCCATCAACCCACCTTCCACGCAATTGTACAATATTTTTCAACCTTTTTTTCTTCTTAACTTCCTTAGTTTTTATACCCAATCTCCATTTTTTTTTCTTGCGCTCGACATATACATAGTTGCTGATTATTGTTTTCTCTGTCATGGTGCTCTGTTATCCTCCATGGTCTCTTGTCCCTGAGGCTTCTCTGATGAGAAATTGTCCTGCAATTTGATGACCCATCGGAGACTCTTCTGTCCAAGGGCCCGTCGAGAGAAGATGGATAACTCGATCATCACAAGGTGTCGCAATCAATTTTGGTTTGGAGTTTTTGCCTTGTTTGTTTTTTGGTACTTGTTGCTTTATGTTTATGATTGGTCTTCTCTTCGTGAACCTTCCTTAATAGCCGAAAAGCAAGCAAACTCCATCAAATCCTTACACTCGAATTCTGTTCAACTTCCTAACATCGACAATGAAATTGTTGGTACAAAGCACATAATCGGTGATGATCGTATTAGTGATGTCTCAAGGGATGTTATACCTGTTAAGGACCACGGCGAAAGGCCGACCAGCAGATCATCTGTTGAGAAAGAATTGCAGCCTTTTCTTGGAGCAAATGAAGCTAAAAATGGCAATAAAAGTGCCATTAACAAAAAAGGGCGAGGGGCAGACAAGAAAGTTGTCAAGGAGAATGGGGTTAAACAAGGCAGTGCACTTCCTGTGGTCAAAACTCGAAGAGAACCCAAGTCGTGTTTAGGTCGTTATATTTATGTTCATGATCTTCCTAATAGATTCAACGTTGATGTGATCAAACAGTGTCGTTTATTGAGCAAATGGAGTGATATGTGCCAGTATATGGTGAACATGGGTTTTGGTCCTGATCTTGGAAACCCTCAGAGGATTTTCCTGAACACTGGTTGGTTCACCACACAGCAATTCTCTTTAGATGTCATATTCCACAACAGAATGAAACAGTACGAGTGCTTGACCAATGATTCATCAAAAGCTTCAGCTATCTTTGTGCCATATTATGCAGGGCTTGATGTTGCAAGGNTCTGGGTCTCATACCTCAGGCTACACCCCATCCAAGATCCTAACATCAGAAACAATTGGAGAAACAATTTGTTGTTGAACTAGTGCATTTTGGAAGTAGCAGAGTTCAATTCCTTAGGGGTTAAAAAAAAAAAAAAAAAAGTGTTAGGATAGGATAGTTGCTTTCCAAACAACAGACGTATGTTCCACTCCTCACAATCCCACATCGAGTTTTCGGTTTCATTCCTTACTCAGTTGTTGGCATATCCCGCCATGCCCAATCAATTATACTGTTTCAGGGTCGTGTCGTGATTAAACAACTAATACGGATGAAGATTAAGAGTAATATTAGGCTGATAAAAAAAAAAGGGAACAAAATAAAATTCAAATAACTTGACATTGCAATAATGATACTTTTGATTATATTTTTATTCATTTAAAATTCAAGATTTAATTATCATATTAGCGAACATATTATTTGAACTATGTTTTTTATTTTTTTATTTTGTCAATGTAGAATTATTCTAAGAAGATTAATTATAATTATTAAATTAATAATGAATCTTAACGAATATTGGAGCGCATTATCATTTATTGGAACTTATTGTCAATGTAATGATTATGACGGAGATGGAGTAAATCAATGCAATTGATCAATTTGATCAAAACCAAACAAACAAAATAGATCAATACAACCGTGCAAGCAACATTGCTCTAAAACTGTCCTGTAATTTGGACCTTTTCACAACCAATCACAAGAAGCGAACAATATCAAGCAGCCAATGAGATATTTTCGCGGGAAGGGAAAACGAACCAGGGCCTCAAAAAGGGTATTTTCGTCACACCACTCTATATATACTCGTAGTAACGGTGGCACTTCCAAATCTGTGAGGCTAATATCAAAATCTCTAGTCAAACCGTCCTATATCAATCGCACGTTTAAGGCAACCTTCACTCTCGCTCCACCGCCACAAACTCAATTGGCTGTTCATGGCCGGCACCAGCTCTTCCGTCACTCCTAACGTCGTCGGATCCACCGTCGTTGAACTATCCAGGAACTCCCGGACCGGAGCTCCGTTCTCCGTTCGGATTTCCTCCAGGAGCAACAGTGTCTCCAACCGCGACGAGCGTGGACCGCCGTCCGAGGGACTGTCTTGCATATTCGTCGGCCCTATCGAGACTGCCAGCAAAGAAACCCTAGAGTCTCTCTATCGTCAAGTACGCTCAATACTATATCTCTATAAGTCTGTAAAGATCGATCTATACGTATCTAGGGTTAAAATTCTAGTTTACTTGAACTGACTCTGTCATTGGTTGTTGTTGATACAGGCACGCGATGCATATTACAGTGGGAAACCTTTGATAGTTGATGATATGTTCGATAGAGTAGAGGTAAATCTTGGCCGATTTCTTTTTTTTTTTTCAATACTATTCTGCCCCTCCCGATGTGTGTTTGTGCGTGGATTTTATGTGTAAAATTGTTATATATTCTTTTCAATGTATTCACATAGTGACAGACGAATTGAACAGTTGAAATTGCGGTGGTATGGGTCAAAATACGTTGTCAAATACCCACGTTGCAGTCTCAGGCGGCACTCCACTTACGCCGATGCTGAGGTAATTTTACTTTGATTGCTGTTTTGCNTCACTGGGTATATATGAGACATTACCAGTCTTCTGCCACGATATCTTTCACCAAAATTACTCAAAAACTTCAACTTTCTTGTAGAAACTTAGGCTGAATCATTGAAGAACATTCTCAAACAATTACTTTAGACAGTACCAGTCTTCTGCCACGCTATCTTTCACCAAAATTACTCAAAAACTTCAACTTTCTTGGAAAAACTTAGGCTGAATCATTGAAGAACATTCTCAAACAATCACTTTAGACAGTACCAGACTTCTGCCACGCTATCTTTCACCAAAGTTACTCAAAAACTTCAACTTCTTGTAAAAACTTAGGTTGAATCATTGAAGAACATTCTCAAACAATCACTTTAGACATTACCAGTCTTCTGCCACACTATATTTCACCAAAAACTTCAACTTGCTTGGTTCTGCCTGAGATTGTAAGAATAGTGTTCTGCTTCAGGGAATGACCTTTCTTATACATAGGGCATTAACTTTTTGGAATCAGCATTATTCTATTGCTTTTTTCTATAAAGGGCTATGAACATTACATACTTCTTCACTTGACGAGTGAATAACGTGAATGTAGGGCAGGAAGATCCTTCACAGGTTTTCACATTAGCAAGTGTGTGGCTCTTGTTTCTTGGTTTTGGCTGTTCAGCCTGTCTTGTACCTATAATCTACACAGTTGGGCAAGCTTATCAGGATGCATTCAATTCAGGATTGTACTACAGTAATCAAGCTTCTTCAGGAGCATTTCTTGCCATGCTGAATGGCATTTTCTTCATGGTGTTGGGCTCTGTGGTTGGCTATCCAATTGCTTCAGCTTCTGGTAATAAGTTTTGATGTTCTTGGCAATCTTTTTTTTAGACTTTATGTTAAGGTGGAACTTGTGGAATGGAAGAGGAATGGTAATGAGTTTGATGTCCTCGTCAGAATACTACTGATATTCCTTATATTTCACAAATCGAAAGCTTTTGCTTGCATTGGAGATATTGTAAGGCATGTTTAAAGTTTTCAACTGTAGAAGAAGCTGGAGAAAATTCAAGATTCAGAATCTATAGGTCTCTTGAAAGCAAAAGGTTTTTACATTAACGGTCAATCACATATTTTTCCCATCTGTGTCGGGTATATGGGCCTGAATATTTCATATTAACTGCAATTCGTACGTGCATGTGTTATTCTTTGGAGTTTTTGTTCATCCTTAGCTAGTTGACTAGGTTGAGAACATAATTTTTTTCTTTTTCACTCCAATTAATGGAGGGCATTAATTATCAGAACTTACTGCTGCTTCAAGGTCAGATTGAAGTTTACATTAGAAACTAAACTTCCCCAAACCAGCAATAGTGGGAGCCTTATGCACTAAACTGCTTTGGATTGAAGTTTACATCATTATGAAAGAGATAATGTTCGGAAAAGTTAATCAGTTATCAGTATAGCTAACATGAGGAGACATTTGTGAAGTGTGCTAATCAACATCATCTAGTGACTATTGTGNGTATGAAAGAGATAATGTTCGGAAAAGTTAATCAGTTATCAGTATAGGTAACATGAGGAGACATTTGTGAAGTGTGCTAATCAACATCATCTAGTGACTATTGTGCAATGTGTGCATTGAGGTGTAGTTTAGTAAGCATCAGTAGATATATCATTGGTTCAAAGTTATGTTACCTGGATCATTGGTCACCTTGGTACATAGTTCGGATAGGAGTATGCGGTATGATACTTTCTTAGGTATATGGTATGATGGGAGTAGGATTAGTTGGTATGGTATTTTGGGTTGCAATTCATTTTGGAACATTTTTCTAGATCATTTTCACTATTATGCAACATTATATATCATAGAACATCCATAAACACTAGTCAATTAAAATTTGTCTTACATTTATGCACGATTTTTTATTATCTAAAACAATGTATAATTATAAATCTATATAGACACAGTCATTTAATATGTATTTTATATTTGTACTACATGTTCTAAAGTGAATTGATTTAGAGTTAGTATTATAATTTAGGGTCGTATATTTTGGTGATCTAGATCGCGAATCCATTCCATTTGGGATCGATGTACCCAAATCATGGGTCGTCAGGAGTTTAGTGAATTCTGGTAACTATGGTTCAAAGGGATTGATGTATCATATTCATTACAATATATCAGTATTTATATTGTTTTACTTTCTTATTATCCTTCTCACATATTTGTGATCTCCTCACAGCTGGAGCGCTGCATGGCCTTTGGAAAAATGACTTGGTAGCACTAAAAGGGGCATGTCCCAATTGTGGGGAGGAGGTCAGTTTTAACAAAGAGTAATTTGTATTAGTTACAAATTTTGATAAGCTCCATGACTATGGTTCTAATCTTGATTTCAGTCACATCTGGGAAACAAATTTAATAGTCAACTTCCAATGCGTCAAGTGTACAAGTTTAAGCACAAATTTTCTGCAGGTTTTTGCATTTGTGAGGTCCATTCAGTCAAATAAGTCTCCCCATAGAGCAGAATGTCATGTATGTGAAAGCTTCCTAGAGTTCCGAACCAAGGTTGAGGTAATTATAGCTTAATCTTTTCTTTTTTTTTTCCAAACTGGAGACTGCATGTTTCACTATTCTAACTAGTTTCTGTGGCACACACAGCGCATCTGCAAGTAGATGTGTGTACACATTTTATGTAAACAAAATCTTGTCAATAATTATATATTCACCAATCAAATGATAGTAAATTGTGATATTAACTGTAGGTAAAAGAGGGAGCCATTAGGGAATGGAGACATGAGATAGATAGAGTCATGGGAGATTGGAAAAGAGAGAGAAAAGAAGTCGGGTTAGGAAAGAGAGAGAGTGGGAGAGTGGGAAGGTTTAAAAGTAAACTGTAAATCAACCATTATTAAGGGGAATGACACCCACTCCTATCTCCTCTTATTAACTCAATAAAAATTGAGAATAGATGGGGGTGTGAATCTTATAGGGACCTTTGCCTGGGAAGAAGAACATGTTTACTTTGCACACCTATTTATTAGTGAGATGTTTCTAGGCCATGAAAAAAATGTGTAGTAATTTTATTTCTGTATTTGTTAATTTAGTATCATGTATGCTGTCTGAATGTTTATGCTCATGTTTTTTTGCTTAATGACAAAACAGATAGAAGCAGCCAGCAAATTAGAATACAATTTGTGCAGTTCCCAAATTTGGATCATGTTATTGGATTGATATTTGGTGTTTATGTTATGTATGATGCATGTGCTATTTCATTTTGCAGCAATCCATCCCAACACCAGGTAGACGTTGGGTTTATGGTCGCATTTACTTAATTCGGCGAAGGGGTGGGAACCAACATCAAAGATGGACATGAGAGGAATGCAGTAACGTGGTTGCAAGTCCTTGCAATTTATGTGATTACCTAGTCTTGTGTACAGTAGCAGGATTCTTTCCTTTACCTTTTCTCACCTTTTTGGCAAGTTGTGATGATCCAAACAAACAGAAATATTTTTGACGAACTAATCAGTAGTAGCATGGCTTGGATCATGGGATGTGATCCATGGGACACNCCTGGGTCTCATACCTCAGGCTACACCCCATCCAAGATCCTAACTTCAGAAACAATTGGAGAAACAATTTGTTGTTGAACTAGTGCATTTTGGAAGTGGCAGAGTTCAATTCCTTAGGGGTTAGGATGCTTTTCATTTTAATTTGTAGATCAAGTGTTAGGATAGGATAGTTGCTTTCCAAACAACAGACGTATGTTCCACTCCTCACAATTCCACATCGAGTTTTTGGTTTCATTCCTTACTCAGTTGTTGGCATATCCTGCCATGCCCAATCAATTATACTGTTTTAGTGTCGTGTCGTGTTTAAACAATGAATACGGATTAAGATTAAGAATAATATTAAACTGATAAAAAAAAAAAGAAGGAACAAAATAAAATTCAAATAACTTGACATTGCAATAATGATACTTTTGATTCTATTATTTTTCATTTAAAATTTAAGATTTAATTATCATATCAGCTAACACATTATTTGAACTATGTTTTTTATTTTTTAATTTTGTCAATGTAGAATTATTCTAAGAAGATTAATTATAATTATTAAATTAATAATGAATCTTAACGAATATTGGAGCGCATTATCATTTATTGGAACTTATTGTCAATGTAATGATTATGACGGAGATGGAGTAAATCAATGCAATTGATCAATTTGATCAAAACCAAACAAACAAAATAGATCAATACAACCGTGCAAGCAACATTGCTCTAAAACTGTCCTGTAATTTGGACCTTTTCACAACCAATCACAAGAAGCGAACAATATCAAGCAGCCAATGAGATATTTTCGCGGGAAGGGAAAACGAACCAGGGCCTCAAAAAGGGTATTTTCGTCACACCACTCTATATATACTCGTAGTAACCGTGGCACTTCCAAATCTGTGAGGCTAATATCAAAATCTCTAGTCAAACCGTCCTATATCAATCGCACGTTTAAGGCAACCTTCACTCTCGCTCCACCGCCACAAACTCAATTGGCTGTTCATGGCCGGCACCAGCTCTTCCGTCACTCCTAACGTCGTCGGATCCACCGTCGTTGAACTATCCAGGAACTCCCGGACCGGAGCTCCGTTCTCCGTTCGGATTTCCTCCAGGAGCAACAGTGTCTCCAACCGCGACGAGCGTGGACCGCCGTCCGAGGGACTGTCTTGCATATTCGTCGGCCCTATCGAGACTGCCAGCAAAGAAACCCTAGAGTCTCTCTATCGTCAAGTACGCTCAATACTATATCTCTATAAGTCTGTAAAGATCGATCTATACGTATCTAGGGTTAAAATTCTAGTTTACTTGAACTGACTCTGTCATTGGTTGTTGTTGATACAGGCACGCGATGCATATTACAGTGGGAAACCTTTGATAGTTGATGATATGTTCGATAGAGTAGAGGTAAATCTTGGCCGATTTCTTTTTTTTTTTTCAATACTATTCTGCCCCTCCCGATGTGTGTTTGTGCGTGGATTTTATGTGTAAAATTGTTATATATTCTTTTCAATGTATTCACATAGTGACAGACGAATTGAACAGTTGAAATTGCGGTGGTATGGGTCAAAATACGTTGTCAAATACCCACGTTGCAGTCTCAGGCGGCACTCCACTTACGCCGATGCTGAGGTAATTTTACTTTGATTGCTGTTTTGCCATTGTGTACCACACTATCGGGGGGGGGGGGGGGGGGGGAGGCAAATGCAGGATAATATGATTATAGCCCAGGAGTTAATACACTCTATAAGAACAAGAAAAAGAACCAAGAAGTATGAGCTGGCAATGAAGCTTGATATGTCAAAAGCTTATGATAGAGTGAAGTGTGACTATCTCAAAGCTCTAATGAT